TCTTTTGACGAAAACCCTCTGTGGTTCTTAAGACTCCTCTGACTTTGGGCCTCTCCTTTTGGGAAGCTAACACTCCGACTCTTGAGCTGGGGTTATGACGGGTTTGAGTGTTTGGTGGTTCTTGTGTTGTTGTCAAACATGCTAACCCATTTACCGTCAGACACTAACGAGAAAAACGTAAACAGTCCCACGGGACAACAATCCCAAACGCATCAAAACTTGTTTATGAATGGATGAAGCGGGCCGGCGTTACACTTCTGACCTACGCCACGCTGACAGTTTGTGGATCATGCGTCAAAGCATCGTCAGTGCCTGGAAACCAACCAGTTTAAATAAACTCTACCAGTGAGGAGAAGCGGTCAGCTATCAAAATTACACCGCGAGCTTCTTTGGTAGCAACAGAAAGGTTGCGGTTAAAGTGGAGCTTGCTAAGGGTCAAGTATTAACGTGGGTGTATGTATACATCTGAATCCTGCTTAGATGGCCGAGCTCCTGTGCATTTGCTCTGCTGAAACTAACATCAACAGGTCAAAGGTCACTGCCTGTCCCACGCACTAGATATTTGACGTATGAGAATCGATGCTCTCGGGCCTGAGGAACGAACATCCTGCGTCTGTTCGCCGCATAAACACTATTATTATCTTATTATGGAAAAAGACAAACACCTGAAGGCCCTTTTATTAATAAAAACATTCCAATAGAGCTGCGCTATGATTGTTTTCCATAGTTTCCTTGCCGTGTTTGTTTCTATCCGTCTCTTTTCAGTAATTTCATTCGTTTGTGTTAGTTGAATCATTTTGCCATGATGTTTTATTCCTTGAAGCACTTTGTGATTCTTTTCTGTAAAAAGTGTTATATAAATTAACTTTTTATTTCATAGAAATCCTGACTTGTGCTCCGAGTTCTTTTTAAAAGCAGGAGTGCGAATGAGATGTTCTGACCAGATGGAGAATAATTCAACTCTAACTTTGCTGCTGATGTTAAAACAGAGGCCATTTAAATTAAATATTTATCCTACAAATATAGAGACATTTATCCATTTCTGGAGTGAAACATTTTGTGGTTTTTAATCCAAACTTTGGCTAAAGCTGAACATGAGACCACCGCAGCACTAATTTATCCACTGAGCTCCCAAGCTGTAATAACTGCGCCTTATTTTAAACGGCAACGTGGAACCAGCCTGGATTTCATTAGTTGGAGCAATAAGTTTCAGCGGTGCCACCCAGACCGTCTCAGGAACAAGTCCCGACAAGATGGACGTGCCCAGATAAAGCAGCATCAATTTCTCTTTCACCACAGAAAAGGCAGAAAACTAATCAGAAACACAGCTCTACGTCTAGCACACAGTCTAATCTAAAATCTGTTGCCTCCTGCTCTTTACCAACGACCAGGAAATCAGCAAAAACCACCGCCAGCAGTCCACCAATCAGAAGAGCTGAAGGAGAGACAGAGAGCCGGTCAGGTCAGGCAAGATGGCTGCTCTCTCATTTTCTACAGCAGCTCTTTTGGGGTAAGAAGAAGTGAAAAAAGAAAAAAAGAAAAAGTGGGGACGCTTGGAAAGAAATTAGATTTGCCCAAAGGAAAAAGAAGGTGAGAAAAACAGTGGGGGCGGGGGGGATGAAAAGAGGTCGCCGAACCCAATGGGAGAATTTCTTGTTCTCAGTGGATCAAATAGGGTTAAGCAGCATGGTGATCAATCTGATCTATGTGAAAGTTACGGTAATGCTAGTTCATCTTAGCAGCCCCCCCCCCCGGAAAGAAGCAGAAAAAAAAGAATCCAGGAGGCAACGTGGGAATGTTTTCCGCTCTTCTAAAACAGGTGATTTATCCCTTACTCACCTATTAGGACCTCTTTCCTCTCCAGGATGTTCTTCTGTGGCAGCTGGGCAGCAGAGCTGCCACTGTCAACCGTGTTCCCGCTGAAGTCGGGCAGTGAGTCGAGATTATTCCTGCCCTCCTTTCTGATCTCCGAGTCTCCGGTCGGGCCTGCGGCGCCCACCTCGTTGTTTCCCTCCTAAGTCGAAGACAGAGAAGGAAAACCTTAACAGGACATTTTGATTTTGATGCAATTAAATTCGTTCCGCAGAGTCGCTGCCCGGATAACCGATCCGCAGCGAGCCCAGAGAGAGTTTTTTCCATGACACACGCTGGCATTTGCAAACAAAGAGTCCCTGTGTGTCTCGAACAGGCAGGAGGAAAAGTGGCTCGTCGTCAAACAAATACACGCACACTTCATAGAACGTGGCAGCTTAATCGCGACGCGGAGAAGCCGTCAAGTACGAATGCGCGGTGCCGCTGGAAACGAACAGATTGAATCGGAGGAACGGCGGTGCTCTGCACGCAGGCAGAAGGTCAGATCTTTGCACGGCGTGAGCTACAGAAACGCAGATCAAAACCGCTTTGAATCCGTCGCTTGTTCTTAAACTTGATCTAATGATGTTCACTGGGAAATGGCTCAATAAGAGCCAGAGATAAGGGCTATTTGATCACTGTCAAAACCAATGAAGAGATCTCATTAACAGATATTGGCTGTTTACCCAAAGCCTGATCTGGATAAATTATCTTCTGACACTTATAAATGAGCCACATGTTCATCTATCACTACAACCATTAGCACTGCGGGGCTTTTTGTCAATCAAAAACTCACACACTCCTACTGCTGTGTGCATTCCTAGTGACTCTACATGGTTGCACACAGAGCCTCGCAAAAATATTGCTTTTTTTTTATTTACATTTTGCTATGTCATAGCCTACAAACTCCAGTGTATTATTTATTTTAGATGGTAGAGTAACACAGAGAAGCACATCATTTTGCAGTAGGAGGAGAAGTAAAAACACTGTCTTTTGCATGAACATGGAGACTCGATATTTTACCCATTTTTTTCTTGGTGAAACATTGGAGTCAGATTTGATATGGGGAGTCTGTGAGCATCTCTTTTCAAGTTCTGCCACAGTCTGGACTTTGACTAGGCAACAGGATTGGCCAGTGTACTTTGACTCTGATTTGCCAGTCAGAGTCACAGTACACAGTGTTTTCAGATGCATATTTTATTACAAAAGTTCAATTCCAATAAAAACTACGCGCTAATCTGTTGGCTAAACAAACGCATTTTCAGCGTACTTTTTGCTCCACTGCAGGCGAATCTTTGACGTCTCCAGCGACAGAATTAAGAAACTTGTTGTCAAAGATGGGCAAATGTGCCAGCAATTATTCTCTTCTCGGCTGAAAAAGTATCATTAGCCCATTTCTTTATAGCTACCTCACAAGTAGCTGAAAGAAAAAAACTTGGTGTCACCAAGAAGAAGTTTTTACGATGTTCAAAAGTGCCATCACCATCTCCTCCAGGGGATTATACGACTGACAGAATGATGTCGCCACCAGTACAGAGCTTAGCCAACATTAGCATCAGGTGGGATGTGAGTGCATATAGGCACGGTGAGGCATATACAAAATGATATATTACACTACAAATCATACTTCAACTACAGAATCTGAAAAGAAATGCAAACATGTTGAGGCTGCAGCACGCAGTTAATGTAACTGTTGATCATGACTCAGCTTTGAGGTAATAAACAGCCAGAGGAACAGCTTGAGTTTAAGCAGGGATAAACTTGGCTTCATGGTTTGCTTAGATTTGGGAAACGGTTATTGTGGAGTAAGATTAACGGTGGAACAATTAATTGACGTACATCTTGAAACGGTCCGAAACGTCTGCGTTTCTATATGGATTTGACGGTTTTTCCCGCTTCATTTCCACGATCAGGTTTGCTCGTTAGTCGTTTCATTTGCCCTTTACTCGCTCCGCAAAGTTCAGCTGTTGGTTGTCAGATCTCTGCTCCGATCCTGCCATTGTCAGCTGACTTATTAAGTCACTTTAACCTTCTGCCGGCCGTTTGCAGAAATATCTGCGTTCGGCTTCTGTTTTTCTGCATTTTGAGACTTTTGCTGCCATTTATCAGTGATCAGAAATGTTCCTCCAGCGTGGCTCACTCCCAGGAGAGCGAAGAGAATGATAAGGGTTGGTAATCACTGAAACCAGCAGCCTGCACAGCCCCGACTGACACTTTGGTAATTTGAACGTCCTCAGACTGGAGTTGCGGTTGCATTTTCCGCCTTCGTAATCCTCCCACCCAGCTCATCAAGCCGCACCAATGCAACCACTGTTGAGCTCTCATTACATTAGAGGCACCGATTAACAGATCCAGAAGCTGTAAAGTGAACCCACAGCGGCCAGATGCACGAGCAGGAACGTGAAAAGCAGCATCATTTAGGGGAGAACGGATGTTTTACTGCATGCTTTAACTCTGCACCGTAAAAACTGAGTTTTGGAGCACATATTATACATATACATATCAAAAAACTAGCCAATAAAATGCAATGTCCAAATCCTACGAAAGTTTATTAGTTTCTAATTAGAACATTAAGTGATAGTTAAAGTCTAAGAATAAATATGTTTTCTGACAAGATTTTGATAAGAATATAACTGAAGGTGTTACATTGGGACCGTTACTCACCAGTAATAGCAGCCACACAATTATAGGTTATTAAATAACTACCACTTGTAGTTATTTAAGTAAAATAATTCTGAAAAATTACATTTTTCTCCTTCAAACTGGCAGTAATGTCTGTTGTTCAGTGTAAACTCTAGAGTCTATACTGAACTTAAAATATACATATTTATATTTGTAAAATATAAATCTGAACAGATGAGTCCTTTTCTTTACACATTTATGAACCACTTTATGTTGGAGGCAAAACAAAATATAAATGAAGCAAAAAATTAGTGGCTGTAATCTGACAAAACGGAAGAGTTGAACATTTTTTGGTAGCGCGACTGCAATCCAGATGATTAATCTGAACTTTTCCCCACCTGTGTGGTTGCGGGCGGCTGTGGGCGGGTCGTTCTCTCCGTCGGGACGCCCTGGGTGGTCCTCGACGCCGGGACCCGGGGCCTGAAGGGGACTCTGGTCTTGGCGGTGGTCGCAGCTGTGGTGGTGGGTGCGGCCGTGGTGGGCTCGGGCGTGGTCTCCGCCGTGGTGGGCGTGTCGTAATCGTAATCTGGGGTGGTTTCCGCGTCGGGGGAAAACGGGGTGGGCTCCGGAGACAGGTACACGTCCTCCTCGTCTTCGCCCGGGCCGAGCAGGTCGTCCGAGCCAGCAGAGGGCGCTGCGCTCTCCACGGCGCTGGTCGTCAGGCCGGTGGTGGACGCGGGGAAGACGGCGGGGGAGCGGGGGGCGGCGGTGGTCTGAGCCGCCCGGATTTGCTCCAGCTCCCTCTGCCTCTCCAGCTCCCGCTCTCTCTGCCTCTCCCTCTCTCTCTCCCGCTCCCTCTCCCTCTCCCGCTCTCTCTCCCTCTCCCTCTCTCTTTCCATCTCTCTGATTCGCTCTCTTTCTCTTTCCCTTTCCTGTCTCTCTCTCTCCTGCTCCCTCTCTTTTTCCCTCTCCTTCTCCATCTCCACGTAGATGCCGCTCTCGCCGTCGGCCTCGGTGGGGAACAAGGTGGAGATGACGTCCTCCGGGCTGGGGCTGGGCTCGGCCGCAGGTGAGGCTGAGGGGGCGGGGCTTGTCGCCTGGGTGGTGGAGAAGAGGATGGGCTCCTCCGTGGTGAAGGTCACGCCAGACGTCGTCGGCCTCACGCCGATGTCAGAGGCTAGACGAGGAGAAAAGAGGAAATAAGAGAATTAGTGACAGACATGCAAATGAAACCACTTCCTCTACTCAGGTTTATGGAGGGAAGCAGCTGGATGTAAATTTGAAATATAACCTCAGAAATCAAATATTCCTGTCATTTAAAGTTTAAAAAAACATTTTGCTTCTCTCGTACTTTACAGACACACATCTTTTATTCTCACTTCTTGTCTGAAACATAGTGACTTGGGAACTATGGATGTAAAAACTCAGAAAATGACACGGTGACACTGGTAAATGTCAAAATAAAAGCATCAATCCAAAAAATGTCAGGAAGTTTAGGGAGTTTTTTCTATTTTCTTTTAAAAAGAACAATTTTGTTGTACTTTACTAACATTTCCAGACATAATATGATGATTTACAGAACATTTTCTCAAGATTATCCCATTTATTTGATGAGGGAGGAATGCGTTATGTAAGTAAATCAGTTTCTGGTAGCACATCACCAACGTCTTTGAGATAACACGGGAGTTTGGAGGATCTGTGCTTTGTTGTGTCTTGGCCAAGTCGAATGGCCAAGACGAGACACAACGTTCTGCTTCAATCAAAACAAAACCCGACAGAGATGGGGGAAAAACTCATCTCCATCGTCAGAGCTTCGTAGGAGAGAAGACCACTGCTGCTGACCAAACAAAAACACAAAGATTCACTTTTGCCAAAATACAACATCCTTGATTATCCCCGGGACTTTTAGAGAAATATTCAGTTGACTAAAGACAAAAAAAAGTGAAACTTTTAGGAAGGCGTGATTCCCGTTTCATCTGGTAAGGGACCCAGAAAGTCCAACTTTCAACAGCTCAAAATAAATAAAACAAATGGTTTCAAAGGCCAAAGTCCGCACAAAGATCATTTATACTTAAATGTCGTCCAAATGTGACTGAATAAATAACATTTTGCAAAACAGAGTGTGCTAAAATTGCTCCATGTGGATTGTAAAAGATGGATTACCTCAAAAGCTTGATGGAAGTTGTTGCATTTACTTCATTTATAAAAGGGTCAGATTAGTTTAGAGCATCTTTTTCTCTTAAAACAATCGTTTGGAAACTTTTTTGATTTCTCCATGCTGTATTTGTCAGGTATTATTTCAAAATCTGAAACAAGTGAGTGTGGCAGGAAAGGAAAAGCAACAAAAATCTGTAAGGGCGTAAATAGTTTTTCCAAACATTCCTAGGATAGATGTGTAAAGATCTAGAAAGTAAATTCATATTTTATTATTATTATTACGCCACTAAGTGAGACATTTAAGGCCATGCCTCACTTAGTAGTTTCCATAACAAGCATTTATTTTAAAGCTTTTTATTCAGTTTGCAAATAACTGTAAAGGCTGCTGTGTTTGCATCTCAAATTGAACACATTTTGGATAAAAATGAAAATGAAATTTGCCACAGGTTTCGAGTGCAAGCAAGCTTTAAAAAAAAAAATCGAATCAACAGCTGCGCCTAATACATCTCCGACATTGCATACGGTTTCAGTTCCCGAGTCACATCGCCTTCTCATAACCCCCACAAAATCTACATACGAGAGCACTTTTTTATTTTTTGAAAATAAAAAGCAACCAGAGGGGCAAAACATCCAAGAGGGGGGGTGGGATACTTTTCATAGGCACGTTTTTATCAACAGAAGTGCGTTTGCCTTTCTGCTTTCGGTTGTTTAAAGCGTCGCTGCACTTAATGGCGCGAGCACTACAGGGAGGTGTTTGTGTTGTCGAATCACTTAAGAGTAAAATGATGACTTTGACACAGCAATCACAGCCCCAGTGTCATTGTTTCCCCCACATTATTTAGCTGCCTGTCAGGAGCAAGTGAACAGAGTGCAAATTGGATCGACTACAGTAAGTTCAGCCGGGGTAGAAAAGCTGCAGAGAAATAGATTGAAATCTCCAAACTTTCTTTTTGTCGTCCTGATGAGTAACTAAAAAGGATGAGGTTTCGTTGCTGAAAACATTTGTTTTGGGTCAGCTGGTGCGGACGGAGAGCTCTAAAGAGAGTTACCGCGGCGTACGCCGCTTATATACATAAAGTGCATTTTCAGAAGGAGAGGAGATGAGCAGAGCTGTGGCTCATAATGCCATTACTCCGCCTTTCATTCGGTTATAGCAGTGAAGCTCCTTGGGTTGAAAGAGAAGCAAATTGAATTTGCAGACACAAAGACACGAAGGCTGTCAGAGGAGCTGCAGAGGATATCGGAAAACGGACTCCGACAATGCGTCTTATGTTTAATGTATCAGAAGCCACAAAATACCTCCACTGAAGCAGCAGAGGCAGACATTAAACGCGCTTCTGTCTGTTAAAAGCGAACCCTGTTCTTTGGAAAGGTTCAACTCTATATCACGGTTTTAGATAAAGCAATTTGCCGGGCTGCTGTTTCAACCGCGGGGGGTTGCCTCTGCCATTCTCCACTGCCCCGAATTGTAATTTATTTCACGCTCACCCGCCAGCGCAGTGCCTTAACTGAGGGCGGCCCTCAATGAGTCACGCTCGATACGAAGAAGAAGCTTCGAAAGCCAGATCAGAAAATCGGGCTGAGTTACACCGACGTGATTTACGTTAAGCAGGTAATTCCCCAAACACGCAGGGCTGGGGACGGCGCGCGCTGCCAGATAGTTGCGTGTGATTGTCTAATCTGTGTGGACTGTAATCTGATTAGAGCAAAGAAGATCTCTGGGAATCGACCCCGGGTCAGTGGTTGTTTGAGTTTTTTTGTTTTCCCACCTCCTGCATCCAACCCAGTTGATGAGACAAACATCCGTGAAAGAACTTCAAATTTTTTTCCACGTTAGGATCAAAAGCAGGACCACGTTTCGTCGGGAAGGGTGCGGTGCATTTGTATTCAGCCCCCCTGAGTCGATATCTTGTAGAAGCAGCTTGTGCTGTAGCTACAACTGCAGGTCCTTCGGGGTATGTCTCACCCAGCTTTGCACATCTAAAGACTGTCATTTCTCTCTATTCTTCTTTTCAAAACAGGTCAAACTCAATCTGACTAGAAGGAGAACGTCTGGCTAGCCGAAGAGTCTGTGAATGAGTTTTGATTTTTATTATAACTCTGCAGGTTTAGTGTTTTTGTCTTGCTGGGATGTGAACCTCTGACCCAATCTGAAGTCTTTTGTAGCCTTTAACAGATTTTCTTAAGAAAAGCATCCTCGACACATGATGCCGCTACCATTGTGGGATGATTGGGATTGTTAGGTTTAGTTTGCCAAATTCAGTTTTTTTCTAATCTGGCCAAAACATTATTCCATCTTTCTTACATCAACAGTCGCCAATTATCGATTCAAAAAACACTATTGGTCCGTCAGTCTTTTACTTCCAGGCTGCAGAGGAAGAGTAAATGATCTCTCCACTCCATTTTGGACTGACAGACACCCTTTTTGAAAATCCTCTAAATGACATCTGCGTTTGCATCTTTGCAAAAGCCCAGAAACTATTCATATTTCTAGCAGATTTGGGTTTTTAAGGTTCTTTTAATTTGACCAACATGGTTCGTTGCACTATGTTGGAGTGACCCAGCGAGAGTCCTGTCTTAAAACTGACATGTAATCTGAGGAGAGAGCCAAAGATTAGGGTGATGGCAAGGAGGCTTTCCAATCTCAAAAGAGTTTCAGTTTACCAGTGGGAACGTGGAAACAAAACTGCTCAGCTCCTATAAGACGGGTCTGAGTTTTATGTTTGTTGTTTTCTAACTTAACTTTTCAATAAAAATCTTAGGAACAGCCATTTTTCTTTTAAATCAACACTTCTTTTGTGTAGTTTTATGATCTTTTGAGAGCTGCCTTTCTTATTTAGGATCAGAAACAAATATTCGCAAATATTTGCAGCTGGTTGCACAGAACTGAAGCAGAACAATCCTGGGCAGCGTTTATTATCCTCATTAACAGGTACCCAAACACCCCGACCCCTCCGCTGGTCTGTCAAGTTTTTTTTTTTCTCTCCCTCTACATAAAGCATGACTGGACATTAATTACTAATTAGGCGACTTCTAAAGCCAATCGAGTTGATCAAAAGCAGAATTCCCTTTAATCTTCACAATTATGCGCTACTTTGTGTTGCTTTTATCACATAAAATCTCCATAAATACACAGCATTTGAATGTGAAACAGTTCAAGAGGAATGAATGCATGTTCATGAGGAGGCCTGTCTGTGTGGACCAGTTTGGTTTGGGGGCAGAGGGTGGGCTGGAGGCTTCGGGGGTCAGCAGATTGAAACGAGGCAGCTGTCGGGGTTTGAAAGAGCCAGGGCGCGAGTGCGTAACCCGTCACTCGCAACAACAACACCAACACAGACACACTTACAGCCGGAGCCGGAGCCCGAGTAGAGGTCCTCGTCATCGTAAAAGTCATCTCTCGTCGAGCCTTCGTCATCGGCGGGTTGAGACCACTTCTGCGCCTGTCGGAGGGACAGAGAGAGAGAGAGAGAGAGAGAGGTGCAAATGGCAAAGATTAGAGCTGTTCGTCACGGAGGGCCAAGCCGCTCGTCGGTTCACTCGAAAGAGGAACCACTCTGGCAGATTGCGTCCACACACACACACACACACACACACACACACACAGACGTGTGCAGCTGTCTGAGAGGAGGTGCGGGCTGCATTATGCTGGACGGGGCAACATCTGTCAGTCTGTGGCTCTCTGGAGGAGCATAGTTAATGAGTTGATCTAAAGCTGGGATTCTGGCAGGGAAACATCAAAGCTTTTTCTGGGGGGGGGGAAGGGAAGGAGGGCAGTGGGGGGGGGGTTAGTTAGTCTCTGCTTGTAAGTGATGCTCAGACTGCAAAGCACCAAAGGATAGGACTGCAATTAACTTCTGAGGTTGGCAATTTTTCAATATACATTAATGGGGTGTGGGGGGGGATGTTTTGAATTAATTTCTTTTAGAGGGTAAAATGTTAGAGAATGCAGGATTTGTTTTCTGTCAAATTGCAACATTGAACATTTCTGAACTGTGCATTATCAGAATCCACACAAAGTCGCCAGAGAAATCTGGCTCGAAGCTACTGGTACTTTTAGCATAATGTTCAAATTCATTTAAAAATTTGTTTACAGAAAGAATATTTTCTGGGAATAATTCTGTATTTTAGTCTGGAAATGCATTGATCAATTTGCCCCTTTTTTTATTTTAAACTCCTTTTCATACCAACATAACACCGTTTTGTTCAAATCTAAGCTTATTTCACTCAAACTTTTCTATTCTCATTTACCAAATAACTGCATATATGTTTGTTACAGGTCATTATTTCCAGATTTGTAGTCATAAAATTGCTTAAATCTCACACATACAATTTAATTGATTTTAAATTTTAACGACTTGGTCAAGATGAGAGCTTATGACACCTAATTAAAGTAAAAATAAAAAAAAACTCTAAGTGATCTCCTGCTGGTAGTTATTGCAAATTTTCTAACAGGAACCTTTGGGTAGAATATTGAAAATTAATCCTAATCCTACATTTTTTGAGCAGGTATGAAAAGGTCCCTACAAGCAAAACATTAAAAAAATAAAATAAAAATTGTCTATTTTGGGCATGCCGAGATGAAATAATGGTGTCTGAATGCGGCTTATAGTTTGTTGGGGCTGATCTAATGGGGCTAATTTCCAATGGGATAAAAAAGGTCAGTGTTCAACATATTTTCTGGGCTAAATAAAAAAAAAGGACTGGCTGACCTGAAATATGCATAAAAAAGATTTGCGAGGGTGTTTGGAGGGGAAAATGGCTGTGCTTGCAGTAATTTCCTTTAAAATGGGGAACAGCAGCAACAAGACCAACGTATGAGACATATTTTCTTGCTACACAGATAATCAATAAGTTAATCAACCAACTAATTGAGCAAGATGAGAGTCTTTAGCTCCTTCACAGTAGATACAAAAACAGGGACTGTTCAGCACTAAAAGTGTCCAACACGAGGGTGTCTAATGTAATGATAAAAGATTATTTATTGCTAAAATAACTGGATTATTTTTAGCAACAAAATTTAAAGGCAATCTGTCAAAAGAAAAATGTACAATTTCATATCAATTTATCAAGCCGGCAAACTAAAAACCAACAGATGTTTTTACTTCATAAGCTGGAAAACATGACATATTCTTTGCTTTGTCGATGGTAGAAAAAAAAAAAACCTGCTGTACATTGGAGATTACATTCAGTCCGAATCATTTCACCGAATCCCCTGCACCTCCTGCCCCTCTCCACCTTAATCCAGGTTTGTTTGTCGGGAGCCGATGGGGGCGAAGCTGGAGCCCTGCCGGGGGTCATTCAGGGGGTAATCGAGGATCGCTCAGATAGCCGGATCTCTAAAGCGAACGACCTCGTATTTCCAAACACTGCGAGGTCGATCCCCTCCTCCCTCCATCCTCATTCATCTCCCTCTCTTTCTCATGACCTTAATCCCAGATCCCTGCGATATTTAACACACCCTTCAGCGCTCAGAGGCTTTTCTCATCACAGCGGGTCAACTGATACGGCCGCCGCAATGCGTGCACTTTGTCACAATACGCGCCGCGGTGCAAAAGAGAAACCTCGCATGGCAGGAAAACGTAGCTGTCCCCGTCGAGACGGCTTTATCGCGGTTGTTTTCGGCGTCGAAAAGATCGTCTTTAGCAGATTCGTATCGGTATGCAGGGAGGCGTTTGCCGTCAAATCGCTCTGAACTGCAGCTTTCGAGCACTTGAACTCTGCCGAAGCACCTCCTCGCTTCTGTTATACCCAAAAGCTTTAAAAAACACACAAAAAAAAACAAATTTTCTATACATTTTTCTTCGAACACGGAAAACAGTGCAATTATAATTACAAAAGAGTTAAACTCATGCATCTTCTTATTTATTATCCCCGTGAACGTGTTCTTGTAGTGCTGAGTTTGCAGAGAGGAGCTTTATGGAAATGAGGATTGTCCCGGCTTTCAAACTTTCCGAATCAAAACTTTTAAATTAACTTTGAACAAGGAAAACGCCTGTGTTTTTCATCCGTACTGTAAAGGTTGGTAGATTAACTGTGAATGTGTTTTATTTTCTACCTCAAATGTTTTCAGAATAATGTCAGGGTGCTAACTTTCTCATGGAAGACAAACACTGTGAGCAAAGTCTGCAATCTGCAGCACAAAGGAAAAAGAAAGTACACCCTTTCTGCCGCTTCCCTCGGATTCTAGCCAGATGCTGGTAATGAAACGAAACTGATCATCAGAAAGTGTGAGCGCCTCTTTAGACGCAGGAGTGAGTTTCAACTGAAGAAGAAACAACGTCCTTTAGCAGGCAAATCCGAAACAAACTGTGGAGCACAACGCCGGAGAGGCCATGATGTAGTCTGGCTAGCCCAGATTTACAGCAGAGTGTCTGGAGAGCAGACCTGACAACAAGCAAAAATAATCTTTTCTGCAAAACCGAATGAATCGGAACAAAGCTGCAGTCTGCATTCAAAGTGGTGTTGCAGATAAAAATCCTACAGAAAACAACTACTTCAAGCTATTTCTGCTAAAGGTGCTTTTTTTTCTACAAGCTGTTGAATTATAGAGTACACTTACTGTAGTTACTCCCAAATTTTAAAACCTCTTGGACTTCAGGTTAGGTTTTGAACGCTTATAAGGACTTTCAGATATAGCTAACGTGTAAAACTGGAAACAAGGTGCAACTTATCAAAGTCCTTTAAATAAAGGGGAAATCTAACAGTTACCAGATAATGGCTCCAACAGCACTTAAAGTACTTCATGTTATTTTATCGCAAAGCGTTAAAACACACCCCGACTTGTTCCGATGTCAGACTCTAAGCCTCGTTCACCAGTTTAATTCATGATCAAACTTCATCTTTAGTCAGTAAAAGATACATACAGTCAGGGTTTCCCCCAGTGTTTTATAAGCCTGGCGGGCCACCAGGCTTTACTTGTGGCCCCTCCAGGCTAAGCACTGCTTATTTACTTAAGTTTTTTTTTTTTTAATGCTTGCATTTTTTAAGACTTTATTGTTGGTATTCAGGTGTTGATCTTCCAATCTTTCAGAAGGACATAATTATCACGTGATATTTTCAAATTTCCTGTCAACTTTGAACATTTTTTAACTGAAAAACCAAGACTGGCCTCTGGATGAATGACCGCCCTCGTGCCCAACCACCAGGCTTGGCAAGTTTTCATGGGGGAAAACCTTGTACAGTCCAAATGTATTTTGAAACTTGATTTAATCAGCTTTTTGATCAGCTCAATAGTGGTCCAAACAGTCCATCAGAGGACTTTCATTTCTGTCATTTGTGCATCAGTTTAAATGCACAAATGATCGCCTACCTGGCTCCTAAAAAAAATAAGAAAATAATGTACTTTAAGCTCCTAAATTGTAATCCACAAAACAATGTGTTACATCAAAAAAAAAAGAAAGAAAAAAAAGCCATGCCCATTTTACATAAGAAGTCCGTGGTTAGAAAAGAGCTATTCTGTTTGAAGAATGCAGCTGAACAAGCGATCAGCCTCACCACCGTTTTTCTTTCATCTTTGAATGCATTATCCTCAGCTTGCCTCCAAATCTTGGCTGATTCACACTTTGAACACAGGAGGAACTGTGCTGGCAGTGGGAAGTTCTGCGTTGCGGTCGAGCTGACGTCCGTTCCTCGCTTGTTCTTTGGTCTCCGTGTGCTCCGAAATCAAATGAAATGACTGTAATGAATTCCCAAAATGTCCGGCAGGAAACCACGAGCTGTGTGACATGGTGCAGATGCGGGACTTAACGTGGCATTGTGTGAAATTTTGGTGTGAAATATGCTGTTGAATTAGATAATAAGACACATGAAGGAAAGTCTTATAAATTTTTTTTTACAAATCTGAAAACTGTGAGTCCATGTGAGTTGATTCCCTCCAGATTCTCCTTTTTCTGTACTTACAGCTTCACATGAATATGTTCAGTTTTACATTAGAGCTGGATAATATATGGAGTGTAACACAGAATAAGACATGACGAGTATGATCACTTTTGTTTCCTGCTACTGTAATCTGGAAACGCTCATCCCAGATCTATCTCAGTAAACATTAAGTGGTACATTGCTCCAGAACTGAAAAAGACAAATCTGAAGTCTCAGTTTTTGCTGCAGGTATTGAGAAAAAAAAGGGGGGAAAAAAGCCTATAAATCTGACCATAGCAAACTTATCTCCTCAGCAATCTTAAGCCCATCCTGAGGCCCCACAGAGCTGTTTTCTCCAGCCTGTGTGATACTAATTGTACCAATACACACACACACACACGCACGCACGCACGCACGCACGCACAAGCTCCTCCCCGGCTCCAGACATAGGAAACTCGATGCCCTTAAAAGCCAATAAAAGCATAATGGAATCTGGAAACCCGAGCATCTCAGTCCATCACATCGCAGCGTGAGGTAAAGATGAGACGCTATATGTACCTCATGAAAATGAAATTGACTTGGA